CGGAGGATCAGAATGTAGTCACAACAATGATATCTGATATTGGTGTTGATTTTGACATTAGCCTTCTAGCACTGCCAGGGGAAGAAGAAATGGATCTCAACCATGAGGGTGGGGAGTATGAGGCTTTTGCTAGTCTATCATGCCAAATTATACTGCTATCAGGATGGTATGTACCTTGTTTCATGCAGCTTTCACTCACTGGTTTCTTTTAGTTGCTATGTGAATCCTTGCACCCATCATGATTGCATTGAGATCCAGACTGGGAATTGGAATAATTAACTTGACATCCTCATTGATGCATAGTTGGATTATCACTGTAATGATACAACAATTGCTGGACACTACACAAAGTAAGTACCCAGAAAAATATAATATTGTGATCCTGCACAGCCTAGTCTGCTATACTTGCGAGACAAGTGTGTTTGACCTAAGTGGTTAGCTGTTTGGAATAGTCTTAATGTTAGGAATAAGATGTGTGGTCAATAGTCCGAGTGTGGGAAACAATGTCCAAAGGTATAATTATGGATCTGATGTTTTTCAGGTTAGCAAATTAGCTAGGGTTTAAAAGTCCAGTTGCACAACCAGTCAAAGACTGTAGACCGAACTGTACTACAACTTTTTAAGACCAAATTTTTGGTCTCGGTTTCCCTCAATTTGATATTTTGCGGTTGCTGGTTGCCTCATTTGACGTCTAACATCAGACCAATGAAAAGTCAACCGCAATCAGTCTATACCAGGACTGGTTACATGAAACACAAATATTTACCTATGCAAATGAACATGACTTGGATAGTACAGACTACTACAAAATGGTCTCGACTTTGCCAGCTTCATTCTCCCACTTCACAATGCTCTTATCCACAAGAAGGAAATCTTTGTACTTATCTAGCAAAACTTCCTCAACAATACCTAAGTTTGTTTGAGCAGAGTTAGCAAGAGACTTGCGCCCTGAGAATTTGAGCATCTGTAATTGTTCAAAGCATTCAGCACTAAGATGAGAGTGATGGTCAGTGGCAGTCTCCGCACCACCTGAAAAAAGTTGTTCACAGGGTACAGATGATGTGGGAATTACACAGATGTCCATAGCAATTCTTGCAAGTATAGGATACATAGAATAATGTTTCTAAATAAAATAATTAGTCAAATACACAATATAAGTGCAAGTAAACTTACTGACCACCAGTCAATGATATCTGTGCTCTTTGAAACACTGGGCATGTCCTTGAGGTACCTCCGGAGTTCTGCCACCTAGCTCACATCATGTTCCAGTGTTGCCTGCTCAAGAAGCAAGCGGCAATGACAGTCAAATGCAGATTCCACCATGGCCATATCATGAGAGGGAGTTGTGGAAGTACTGGCAACCGATGCAGTCACTAATGGATGTGTGGTAGTAGTAGAGGAGGGACAAGTTTTCCAGTAGTCTTCCATAGTGGTCTCTACAACTTTCAAAGCCTTGTCATGCTAATCCTTAGCATTAAAGTTACTAGCTGCGCACTCGTGTTCTTGCTCTTTGTGTCCTCCCCAAGTCATCTTGATATATTCAAGTTTGTAGTATGGATGAAGAACTATAATGTCTGTTAGTCTGATCAACAAAAATACAATATATAAGTACTTACCAAGTGCAAGCAAGCACATACACAGGTTTTTCATCTATCTTCTGATAGTACTTATTGACCTTATAAAGTCCCTTCTGAAGTGCAACCTGGTAGAGTTTGTACTTTGGCATGCTGCACTTCTGTTCCCATGTCATCTTCAGCTCCTCAAAAGCAGGGATTGCACATCATAGAGTTGGTTAACTTTCAGAAGAAAAATACTGCTGGATTTTATTAGTGTCCTGTGGAAGTATTAGTATTAGTAGATACTATAAAAATGAACATACTGAGATAATAATGCGTGTATCTTCAACATGGTCCCAGTCACTGCTCCCAAAGGCAAAGGCACTCCAGGGAATCTGTTTTGTCAGTCCAGAACACCAAATGGTAGTGATGAGGCTGAATAGCTCGTCTGCAGTACTGATAAACATATTTATAGGCTGTGCAAACAGATTAGTGATGTAGCATTAGAAATCAATTTTTTTTTGCTTACCAGTCACAAGAGATATGTGCTGTCTTACTAGGATGTGATTGGCAATAAAATCACCAGTTTTCACTATCCTCCACAGTCAACGGTTGATAATGTGGTCGTTCATGAGAGGAGGTGTAAAAGTTGGGTTTGTCAAAGCAAGCAAATTTCCTAATGACTTTGAAAAGGATGAGATTAAGATAAATCTCAGGAACAGTAACTGTTAACTGGCTTGATGCAGTGCTTAGGTACTTGAAGGTTGTTAATCCGTTAACTGGCTTGATGCAGTGCTTGGGTACTTGAAGGTTGTTAATCCATTAACTGGCTTGATGCAGTACTTAGGATACAGATAATAAGGATTGATAATTGATGGTGTAGCCGATAACTGGCTTGATGCAGTACTACAATGCTACAAGAAGATGGTTGCAAAGATATACAAAGATAAGATGAAGATATGGATCACGACAATATGCAAAGAAATCAGAGTATTATCTCATAAACACTCCCTATTCTCAATATCAGAGGAATTCAAACTAAGCCTCTAACACAATTGAATCAACCAAAATACGTGGCTTCGAAACTAACTTCTCTACTGCTCAGGTACTGCATGATGAGTATAACGCAGGTCAGAACAGAGTACACCCTCGTAATGTAGTCTTAAAGTAGCCAAGCTCTTAATATTGTTGAGTAAAGTGCTAGTCTTATTTGTCGTCCTTTCTAATTGTTGAGAAATATGTGAATTCTCCCCACAGAAAAGATATCCTGTGTCATAAAGAGAATGACAAAACTACACTAGACGACTAATAACCATGTACCAGCTAGCGTAATTTGAGGATTGGCTCAAGATAGGCCTCAGAAGATCAGTATGTCATGAGAAATAATGACAAATGAATGGAGGGAATAAACTAATATTCACTCAGATGTTCACACAAATATAGGATGAGAAACTTAGGAAGATACTCAAATCCTCCTTCCTTCTCAGAAGGGAATCTCTCAAGAAGGGGGAATCTATTATTCAGAGGGAAAACAGAGTCCCTTATATACTACTCTAAATGTGGCTGTGCAACTTTCTAAATAAGGAAATATGACTCAGAATGAGTCATAACGGATATGACTCATAGCAACTCAGACAGAAAATGACTCATAATGTCTCAGTCATCAAAATATTCCATATTGACTTGTTCACTTCTCAAATATTCTCATCTATAAACTTTCTCCACTCAAATATCTGACTAATCCATTTCATCTGACTAAGCCATTGACCATTCATGAACTGGTGATATGTTGAAGTGTTATCTTGGGTATGTTTCAAAACATACAGAATGTTATGAGGAATATGTGTGAAGATATAAGAGATCATAAGAAATGCGGAATAATCTGTTGTGGTATGTTTGAAACTGATCTTTGAACCAGATAAGTATTAATTTGAATGGTTAAGTTGTAATGTAAGGTCTTCAGGTCTGAAAATTACTCAAATAAAATCATAAGGCAGTGTAAAAAGTCCGTAGTAATTTCATAGAGCAAACATAAGAAACTTCAAGGCTAAAAAGTAGCCATGACCATGCACATTATTAGGTTTATGAATAACAATAGAAAAAATGTGAGACTCATCTTAATTGCAATAGTGCGCACAGCTGCCATAACATCTAGTGAGCCTCCTAGGACTCAATTGTTGGACAGCAAGGGACCTACAAGGGGCAGGTGAAGAGCGCCATTGATTTGAGTAAGATGCAGGAGGAAATTTGATATTAGGCTGCAAGACTGAATGTTGCCAAGTGTCTTGGTGCATGCAAGGGGGTATACGTCAAAGTGAGCCTTATTGTGAGTATTTTCATGAGCATCATTGTCAGAGCGAAAGAGTTCATGAACAGAATGAAGGTTAAGTAGTGCCCCGCAGATAGAAAATTGCACTGGAGCGCACCGAGGGACCCTGAATCCCTGCTTATTATAAACATTGATCTCAAACCCATCCCCGTCAAGTAAAGGAAGGTCCTCCAGATTAACCTCAGTCCGCATGGAATCGTCACTGGATTTATTGTAAATGATAATACCTTCATTTTGAAAATTTGGAACTTTGTGCTATTCCCTGATGTCAAGATAGCTATCAGAAACCAGTTAATATGGCGCCAAAGAAGCAGAAGAATGCGCACATACCTTATATGAGTCGCCAAAGAGAAGGTAAACTGCCAAATATGAGTGTAATTGCAATCATTGTCCCAATTTCTGCGCTCATCATCGAGGGCTCCATGGACAAGGAGGGGCTGGTTCTGTCCATATCAGATAGTGACACCCACGGGCACATTGTTGGTGAGAAAATTATCCTCCTTCCATGATGGAGGTGCCAATGTACCGCAATAAGGACTGCTTGGGTGCAATGGGCATGTTATCTGGATGCCACAGGCTCATTATTGGCAATGACCATACCGTTCCAAAAGATGGCCCCAACGTAGTTCCTCATGTTGGTCCTCATTATATAGACTATACACTCTATGTTGGCAATCACAAAGGACTAGATGCAGCAATAGCTAAAATTCCAGCTGATCATAACTGGCAGGTCACCCTAGACCTCGCCAACACGCACTGATTGTGGCCCGATAGCAATGTTGCCTACCTTTCTTTCAACCCTATTGGTCGCATGGTGTATATCGGAATGCACCTACAGGAGCAACTATGGCTAGCTGTAGTTCCTACAACATTTTTCGAACCAAACCATCCTGATAATGCCAGAGCAGCATACCCAGCACTGAATGCACCCAGCACTGCCCTGACTCAGCATCATGCATTGATGATTGTTATGTTCATCACCCATGCATTTACTGAGATGCTCCTCCAAGACATCCACTGCCGAGAGTGCTATCCGGTCCCTCTCACTCATGCCGCTGTCAAGGAATCAACAGATATTCTGTAAGTTTTGTTTTACGCTTGCATCAATCTCATCCTTATGTAGCCAGGTTATTTGTAAGGGGGAGGGCTGTTGATTCCTTGACAGCGGCATGAGTGAGAGGGACCGGATAGCACTCTCGGCAGTGGATGTCTTGGAGGAGCATCTCAGTAAATGCATGGGTGATGAACATAACAATCATCAATGCATGATGCTGAGTCAGGGCAGTGCTGGGTGCATTCAGTGCTGGGTATGCTGCTCTGGCATTATCAGGATGGTTTGGTTCGAAAAATGTTGTAGGAACTACAGCTAGCCATAGTTGCTCCTGTAGGTGCATTCCGATATACACCATGCGACCAATAGGGTTGAAAGAAAGGTAGGCAACATTGCTATCGGGCCACAATCAGTGCGTGTTGGCGAGGTCTAGGGTGACCTGCCAGTTATGATCAGCTGGAATTTTAGCTATTGCTGCATCTAGTCCTTTGTGATTGCCAACATAGAGTGTATAGTCTATATAATGAGGACCAACACGAGGAACTACGTTGGGGCCATCTTTTGGAACGGTATGGTCATTGCCAATAATGAGCCTGTGGCATCCAGATAACATGCCCATTGCACCCAAGCAGTCCTTATTGCGGTACATTGTATCCAGTTTTGTTAGAGTGACTGTGCAAGGAGGGGTAGTATTGAAATTTGTCATGTAGTCGCAACCAAACTCTGCCTGCTGCTGGTACAGGTGTCATATCCCGTATTCCGGACCTACATCCGACAATATTTCCACGCCTCATCCGGACCTTCGGACGCCCTATCCATGTCTCCAGTCCTCTACCCATCCGGATTCCTGCACCTCTGTACATCCACATCTGCACATCAACATCAGATCCCTTTACCTCCGTACATCAGACCTCCATACCTCTGCAGCTAGCCTGCATCATTCATCCTTTGTCCTATCGCCCTAATGTCATATCCCGTATATCCACGCTTCTCGTCCGAACCTCCGGTCCAGTCCGGTCTGATCCGATATATGATAAGCTTCCTAATTCATTTCCTGTGCATATAACTAGGGAACTGCACGGGTAAACCCCTGGGTATTGGAGGCCATACCCGCACCCGCACCCGGCAAAAACCCGTACCCGCTCTGACGGGTACGGGTTTTCGGCGGGTACAACAAGCTCAGACCCGTACCTGCACCCGTGCAGGGTTTACCCGCGGGTACCATAGGTATCACCGCCAGTGCTTAGCACATATGTCCAGCACACGTCAGCGAATGCTGACGTGACTCGAACATATGTGGATGGCACAAGAAGGAGGAGTGGAGGCACGGCGCGAATGACGGACACGTCGAAATAGACGCTGATGTCGTGGCAGGTGGTGTGTCGCATACGATCAAAGTCGAAGGTGAGCATGTCGAAATGGGAGATGGTGGTGTGGTGGTGCGAGAGTGTGACATGTCGGGTGTCGCATCCTCATTGCAGAAAATGGGGGCAGAGTCAGGATGGCGACTTACTGACAAGATCCTTCCTTCCTCCTCTCGTTCCTCCTCTTTTCCTCCTCTCTTCATCCTGGTGTCTTCCATGTGCGTTCGAGCCACGCCAGCATTCGCTGGCGTGGTCTGAGCATGTACACTCGATGCTGGCAAGTCAGCGCGTCGCGTAGGTGCTGGATGGTGCTTGCTGGTGGCATCCATCAGCGTGCTGCACAGCGACGTAGTGGGTGTTGTCGAACGTGGCGTGGGGGATACGGCGAGTACCGCCGAATGCGAAGGTGTTGGTAGCGATGTGGTGGCGGGTGCGAGTTCTGCGTCTGGCCGGCAGCTTGCAGGGTGGGCCAGTCGTGTCGTCTGGGATGTGGTAAGTCCTGATACCAAACGAGCATGGGACCTTTGAGTTTTGACGCGAAAAACGAGAGCTGATGCGTTGCCGGCAGGAAGTCTGAGTGCTTGGTGGTGGTGCCGGTTGTAGTGTGCATGTGGGAAGTATGGTGTTTATGGAAGGCACGGGTATAGCTGGGGTACGGGTAAGAGCACGGGTCTTAGAATCCCGACCCATACCCGTACCCCAGTAGTACCCATACCTGTGACCCGCGCGGGTTACCCGTACCCGTGCAGATCCCTACATATAACGTTAACACAGCCTATTCCTCTATTTGGTATTCCTTATCCTCGGTATCTCAGTTATACTTACTACCGGTATGCTTACTGATCTGTTAACCTATGCTCCATTTCCGACTCACGCTTGATAACTTTGCTTATGCTTCATACATAGCCTCAGACTCTTGCTTACTGATCTTTCCGTTATTTACTTAGTATATAAAACTCTTGTATATGTCCGGTAGTTCCTCAGTCTGAATATCATATTAGTCCTCGCACTAGATCTCACCCTAAGTCCTCATATCAGTTCTAGTCTTCCGACTTAAGTCAATATCCATCTCAGGCCTGGGGAGAAATTCCCTAGGCCAGAGCTCCGCTTATCCGATCCCCAAGTAGCCATTACACATATCCGTATCAGGACAAAACCTCATCGTAATTTCCGGAAGTTCCTCCGGAACTTTCCCGCACTCGTCCAGAAGTTACTTGCACTCATCCAGAAAGTCCTTCCGAACTTTCCCGCACTTTGGACGTCCTTCGGACATCATTCTGAAATTAAGGGCACATACTCGGGTAAGGGGCGCAGCGCACGAGCTGAAGCCAAGCCCCTCGGAATCAGTCCTACCCTTTGTGCATGGTCTTAACAACAGGGCAGTATGAATGTGCTCCTGAACATGCCCATCTCCAGCTGCCAGCTGCCAAGGAAATTCGGACACATTGAAAGGCATGTTATTGGGTTGCTCATCCTCATCAACATTGTCATCAGCTACCTGGTTGTCATTGTTGTCATCCTGCTCCCTACAGGAATGAAGGGGATGAACACTGAAAACTTGAAGGAGAAAGGTCCAAGAGAGCAGCTCACCGTTCAGCATGCAAAATATCCATGTTATAGATAAAATTCCTAGATACTGGTATGGGTTGTCAGCGTCAATTTGGAATAGATGTGGCAGAGAGGAAGGAGCACTGGCAAAGTCGGTCAAGATAAGACTGTCTTATTTAAATGTATTGAAACGCAGGGACCTTGCATATATTATAACAATCAAAAGCGAGTTGACATGCAATGCTTAAGTGCATAGCCTCCAATCAGGCTAGTGTCACTATTTATGCAAATCCCGGCATTATAAAACTATTCCAGACACTGTAATTACATATCAGATAAGCCCACATACGAGCTCAAGCTCAGTGTCATGTAGTTCAGTATCGCATAGGACCCCCCATGGGCCCCTGAGGCAGGAGGATAGATACCCCACCATGGTGGAATGAAGTTACTGGCAGGTGCTCTGAAACTCTTGTAAATTATTATGTCTATTCAAAGAGTCCAAACTTCGAATATGGCCTCAAAGCGCAGCCTAATGTCCTTACTAATAACCATAGCCATGTTGCATTGATTGTGATGCTAAGAATATTACACAATATCAGAACTACTATATCTGCCATAAGTATCCGGCACAAGTCAGACAATGTTCGGAGAAACAAAATTACACCATTCTAACTGCCATATGACTTTAGTCTTGCATTGGTCTGGTGTTCTGATATAATAGACATTTCCATGTGTATCAGGCATTTGAATCTTGCTCAGAGTAATCAGTCATTGCAATTTCATTCCAATAGAATCAGACATTATATTGAAAACATGATAGTACAAAGCAGTAAGGTACAATTGAATGTATCATTCCAAGCCTATGTATGCAAACATGGGTAATTGAGAATGGACAATAGAACAGGAATATGAACAATCTGTGAGTAGGTCAATAATACAGCAGTTCAGTAGTGCATGACAGTGAGAAAATAAAAGCAAGAATATAAAAATAACACACAAGTATCGTTTGACGGCCTGCAAGTAATGCAAATAAAGGAAATGTCCAACATAAATCCATTAAGTAGTGGATAGCTACTTCCTTGAACTTTGTTGTGCTGGTGTTTGTGCGGGTGACTTGCACTTTGTTGAATGGCCGCCAGCCTGTGGACAAAATTGTTACATTGAATATGAACTCCAGTATATGCTGGACTTACCTTCTTAGCCTTGTGCTTGGTTGCAATCTGCATAGGTTCGAAATCCTTGCATGACTCAGCTTCTGTCAAATCACTTGGGACATGCAACTCAGCACGTGCAGGCACTGCTGGCTTTGGCTTAGGTGGAGTTCGAGTTCGAGTTGGCTCATGAGGTGGAGGTGAAGCTGGCTTGCGAGGTGGTGGTGAAGTTGGCTCACAAAGTGGGGCTGGAGTTGGCTTGCAAGGTGGATGTGGAGTTGGCTTGCAAGGTCAAGCTGGAGTTGGTTCGTAAGTAGAAGGAACTGGTGTTGAGATTGCCTTGGCTGTATGATGTGCTGTCATTTGAGCATGGACTCTTGCTAGATCATTATCCCCGCCTTTGCAAGAGCCAGAGATTTTATCATCATCTCTAGTACTGCTGTTGTCATGGCCCTCCTCGTTCTTGAATAATTTTCTTAGATAAATCAGGATTAGCATGAACCTTGAGGATATAAAAAAACTTACACATTCCAAGCTTTGAGGAGGTCTTCTTTCCAGTCCGGATCAGGTGAATCTTCGATAAGCTCGATGATGTTGTTGTAGAATTCCCGGTAGTTGAAAGCACCATCAATTTCGGACCAAGTGTTCTTAGCGCTGATACCAAAATGAACCTAAATAAAATTGAGCGACTCGTCAGTATGTAAGTTTGAAGCAATCAAACCTGTAAACAGCCATAGGTGATATGTGCCACTTTCACCATGCTCATATTGTATAGAGCAGTGTTTCAGATGCATGTTGAGCATGTCTCCCCTCCATATGCACTCGATGGACTTATAAAAATGTGCTGCATAGTCTAATAAACAAAGGAATATCAATCTAAAACAATACCAAAAAAAATGCCTACCCACTTCAATAAGTAGCCATCAAACATACCCTCAAACATGTTGTCATCGTTGTAGTCTTGACCTGGTGTGTCTCCAGCCCATAGGAATGTGGGAAGCGTGAATGCAGTCAAGTTAACCTTGCTGCACTGAATGTCTTTAAGTGCCCTGCGAAATGTTAGACTATCCTGAGTTCCCTAACCAGACAGAGAAAACGTGCTAGAACAGGGTGGTTAATACCCAAATGGGTATATTGAGTTTTTATGAATGACCAGAACATTTGAAATGAATTGTTTGAGTTACCTTGCCCTTTTCTCATCATCATGATCTGATGAACGGCGTCTTTTCTTGGGCCTTATGTTCTTGTTTGAAACTGTGACCTTCTGTGGAGGTAAAGGTTCCACCAATGATGCTGAGGATGTTGAGATATGTGATATGTGAGGACACAGATGAATCAGACGAGGCAGTCGAGTCAGAACATTTACAATGTGCCATGATGCTGGGAGAAAGAAAAATAAGTGTCAACAAAAGTATCACTATGGCTGGTTACTACCTTGTACAGTTTACAAACCCTGCATTAAGAGAATGTACCATAAGAGATATGCATAAGATTGCAGCAGTATGCAAGACTAACAAATTAGTGCCAATTAGGGTTGGTTCAAAATTGACCCTGAGTTCATCAGCATTGCCCGCAGCTTCATTTCCACATGGTATGGACTTAGGTACGGTACACTTGCTATGTTTTGTGCCAGTCGGTAAAACTTTGAAAATTTGTCTAAGTCCTCATTACCCAGTAAGTACTTACTATGCTATGGCAGACCACAATACCATCAAGCTCAAGCTGTCCGTGTGGGTGATATCATTTAAGTTCACTTTTGAATGCAGAAAGCCTGGTCCTATGGTAAGTATCATTTAGTTACACCAAACCAATACCAACTACTATATGTAGGCTATTGATGTATCCATGCGAGAGCCTCTCGACTTGGAGCTGCCATCTGGCATAGCATGCTGTGCTGATGCCAGAAAAACACCAATGATGAATCTGGGAGTACTTACTGATTGGTTGGAAGACCAGACAATTCTAAGTTCCTTTGTTGTTCTAAAGATCTGTGCTATTAAATATGTATCTAGCAGTGAAAATGATTTCTCGAGCAAGCTGTCAAGGCGGGAGCTCGCATAATTGATGATAGTGAAACAGAGCTGGAGTCAGAATCAGCTGTGGAAGATGCAGCTCAAGTGGTGGTTAGTAGTACTGGGCAGCCACTTGATGTTCCAGCCAAGTGGTAAGTCATTTGTGCTGATCCTACACCCCAGACTAGTACTGACCTTCCTATTAGCATGATGCCTGCACCTGATGATAGAAAAATAGAACCAGTATCAGAATACGAAGCACAGACACTGATAGAATTTACTAAATGGTACGAAGCTAACAAGGCTGTACATAATTTTGTTCTCTACTATGACTACTAATTGCTAACTGAGGGTTATTTACAGAGATTCTAAGTTTACATTTGGTAAAATATAGCATGAGATCCCTCAAATGTCCTTTCAGTTTCACAAATAGTTTGTGTAGTAGGGTGGGTAGTACTGCTGTAATATGTTCACATGACCCCAGACATTCCAGTCTCCTGAGTCTCAACGTGTTTAGGACCAAGCACCCACATCATCCATTACAAAATATGTTGCTTTGCTGTTCATGTACAACCTACAAATGTTCAGGAGCCCTTGTTCCTGCACATAAAAAGCAAAATCATGAACACACAGACCTCAAAAACCAAACTGTCACTGAGCAAGCCTATGCTCAAGTTGCACCACATGAAAGGATGCCTGGACTCATTCAAAATCTACCTCTCTTTTAGCATGAGCCTGTACCACTCCTGTTGCTAAGATTTGAGTTTCCAGATCCTCCTCTCAAATATCAAAATTGCCAGTTGAAGAAGAGATGCTCAATTACAGTGTGAAGAAGTAATAGTTACTAGCTAGCAAGAAAGCTAGAGCACTAATAAATCCAACTGAGTGTGGGTGTGCTGTATCGACCCAAGAGGATTGCTATGAAGCACTTCCTTCAAGTATAATACAAAGGGAGCGAAAGTGGAATGGAAAGAACTAAGGTGATCCTGGAAATGTGAGTCTGCCGATGAGAGTAAAAGTGAGACCACAGGTCCAATGAAGACATGATGTGAACTAAATGAAAGCGAGAGGATTCTAGGTAAAGAGCAATGGGTTCTAGGTAAAGCACGGTTCTGCAAGTAGTGGCTAGGTATAGATGAGGTTTAAGGCCAAGGCATAACTAGGTATGAAATGCTAAGTCGGAACCTGAGCATGGTTCAGATCCACGCAGAGCCTAGTTAAGGAAAACTTATATGCACGTTCTCGGAGCAGTCAAGAATACATGAGTTCAGAGTGAGAATGAACAAAGCTTGTCAATTGAACAAAGTACTAAGAATGTCTAAGGTGACTACACAAAACAAAAGTAGTGTCCAAGGGAAGGAAAGTGCTGTACTGTATGTAGCATGCGAGATTTTATCTTAGTGTGTGAGTGTCTGGAACCTATAGGCAAGAACTGTAGCAATAGAGAATGAGGCAGATAAGTAACATGTAATCAGAGCGTGCGTGGAATGGAATACGCAGATACATGTAATAAGCCATGCTATCGTTTAGTCAAACCGAAAGAGAAAATGAACACACACCAGCAGAGATTGGTGGACATGGAAAGGACATAGACAGATGGTATGGAGAAGCAGACTGAGAGTGGGTAATCGCCAGATGAGTATCGGCCAAGAGGAACTTATTGCTAGATGAAATGAGAATGATATAGACCTTGTAACTTCCTATAGGTCCTGACACAAGTATCAAAAGACACTTGTTTCCGCCCAATGCAAGTCCGAGCATCATAATAGATTCCTCACCAGAGAAGATCTTGACATCATGACCCATAGCAGTGAGTTACCTAATCTTGGATCAAATCTTTATAGCCTGGAAGTCATGTTAGATGCTATTGACCATTTTGATGACTACAATGCACGCACTGCAGTGAGTGCTCATCCACTCACATCCTACCTTGCTCACAACCTTCCCCATGACCAAAAGCTGCATGAGATGCAATACAAATTCGAGCGTGCATTCAAGCAAATGCAGGAGGAAGAAAACTGTGCTGATATACATGGTGATGGTGCTGATGTGTGTGGCAATGAAGATGAAGATGCCAAAATTGATGTTGATGCAGGTGCTGAATGTAATGATGAAGATACTCCTCACTCTCTCATGCCTGAAAAAGGAACCACTGCAGACCCTTTGTTCCTCTACACCTCTTAACAATATATGTGGTTGTCTTATGGTTGTATCTTCAGTTTCATCTCCCTTGAGTAGCGTGTAATATGCTACTTGCTATTTTTCCATGTATACTGCTTGTTATCTCTCCAATGATCTACAGAACATTTGTGACACTTCAATCTTGCACTTAGGTTCTTAGTGTTGATCCAGTCATTCAAACTCTATCTGTTTGCCCTGGATGCCATGATGTTTTTCCTCCCACTGGCTCATTGCATACTTAGGACACATGTATCACCTGCAACATTTCACTTTTTCTTCTGGGTCAAACTAAACTCAGAATTCAGAGTACTGTGAAGATACCAGTTATCAAGTACACATACCTTTATCTTTGTATATAATCTTATATAATTCAGTAGATTTTTGATCTGATTTTACCAATTATATCCAGTCATATCAAGTTTGGGTCTATTTTCTGATATTAATAAATTGTCTTCACACTAACTTAGTATCTAGTTTGATAAGTATCATCATGCCCCTCCTTCATCTATTATGACAACACATTCTATTACTGTACCATCCTCTCATGCCAAAGTTCATGTGGCCATAGCTGGATGCACAATGCAATCCAAGCTTGTGTCTCACATGATGTAGCTCATCAAAGGCCTCATCTGGAACTCAAGGATTATCTAGCTGTACCACTGGAGAATGTTGAAAATGTAGTAGTATGGTGGGGTGTAAGTATACTTCACTCGTATCCTTGATATTCTGTGCAAGCTGACAATTATTTCTTCAAAGCATCACTCTATTCAATATCCTATAATGCCTCACATTGCAAAAGACTACCTCTCCATTCATGGGTCTGCAGTTCCATCTGAATGGGTGTTTTCAAGTGGCAGCATCACCAGGATCATACATTAGGGACACTCAAAGTTGGGGGCGCTTAGGTCGCCCACGCCCACAACCCCTTTGGTCCTACCTAAAATGTAGCTTACACATTACTTAATACTAAACACGCAAAAAATAAACACTTAATATTTCACTCTTTGTTGTCATGCTTCGTGATGTGGAAGAAGAACACTGGAGTCGCAATTCCTAAGATTGAATGGACAGCTGATGTAATCTGGCAACTGCTGGCCCAAATAGAACTGCCGGAGAACAGAGTCATACTATTGGGGAAGCGCAAGAAGGGTGAGGTAAGTGATTCTAAATGGTGCAAACTTGATATGAGACTAATCATATGATTTGCAGAGAACATCGGGTGACAGCAAGGTCACCGTCTACCAGCGCATGGGGTCCACCATATTTCTGCAGTTGCATAGTTTGAATGCTGTTGCAATCGGAGAATGTATCAAATGGAAATATGAGCAGTGAGTCTGCAACACCTTTTATTTCGTGAAACTCATACAATTCTTGCACAGTAGAGGATATTAACACTCAAAAGTAGCCATGACCATGCACAAAACAAGTTTGGTGCGTGTCAATGATGAGGGGGATGAATTTACAACTGATCAGCAGGTCCAGATACTGACCCTTCAGGGAGTTCTCGAGGCCGAGGCCACTTGCCGTGCAACCCCACCATCCTTTGAATCTCCCATTGAGCTTCCTTCTGATCTCTCCCAGTCTCTGTATGACAGTGATGATATAGAGAATGCCTCACCTCTGTCTTAACCAATTTCAACTGTAGTTGGAAAGAGGCCTCCAAAGGCTTCATCGCTCTCTCAAGGCAGTATTGAGAAAGCGAGGCTCCATATATCCAAGATACCAAAAAAGTGGATTCTTGATGAGACTCTGATAGACATGCAAAGGTGCGTGACTGTTTGTTGATCAATGCTCTCTCTTATATATTCGTGAAGGGCAAGTTTAGAGGCAATTAGTGCCCGTGCTGCAGCTGATATGTGCCTCCAAGAGCGCCAGATGCTACTGAAGGAGTTTACAGCTGGTATCTGGGATGTTGATGAGTATTGTGCAAAGTTACATAGCCTGACTAGGAATTCTAGTGAGTCTGAGAAGCCTGAGAAGTGTGCTCACTACTCTCCAGACTGGGGTGATTTCGAGTAGTAGGGTTATTTTTTTTACCTCTTAACCAATATTTTTTATTACACATTCCTTGACAATTTGTTCATACTGATATCGATCATATACATTATTCTCGTTTAATAGCTGTTTTAGTTACATTTGCTGAAATGCCAGTAGTTCTTTAATGAGTTGTTGCTGTTTTGCCTCTCTATCAATCCTGCCATTAACCTAAGGGAGGTCAATTCCCCCTCTATCTTCTGCCTCTTCAATGTGAGAATAGTTACCAGCAAAATACTTCCTCTGTACAGCTCCCTCCACATCTATGACCAGGTTGTGCAAAATAATTGCAATTGTTATCCAATGACATGCTGCTTGATGTTGCCATTTTGAATTGATATTTACACAAAGTCCCCAGAGGCACTGCCAACGGCCTTTCAAAGCCTCCATACAATGCTCAGATCGTACCGGAAGATGTGTAACCGCACTGTCAAAAAGGGTATTCTCTGGCAAAAGAGAAGCAGGACATTTATGGACAGGAATGGTGTGTAAACTGACAGGATATGCAGAGTCAACCCAGGCAAATTTATCACCCTCAAAGAACCAGTCAGAATATCTGGCTGCTGCAGTATGCTCAAATGCAGAGACATCATGTGCAGAGCCTGTGAGTCTATGTGCATAATCAATGATGCAGAGATTGGAGGGTAAATTTTCAATCTATTCAAGACATGAGGGTTATGATTGTATTAAAAATACTTAGTGCAAGCTTACCTGGAGATTAAGACCATAGTTTGACTTTTGAGTGAAGTATGCATCTCCATTGAGGCCTGGCTTGGTGTACAGGATAACAATAGTCCCGTCATACATTACCCAGCCTACCCTCCAAGTTCCCCGAAATCCAAGCTCATTATCTATTCATGACTTCTCAATCTCCTTCTCCTCAGCAGTGGGTAGGCGAACAAATATATCATGCAAGGATTCAATTGCAGTGAAGCATCACTCTGTGTTACGGACTAGGATAGTTCGAGCTCTCCCTAGGCGGATTGCCTAATCTGATAGCGGGCTCGCTATTGGAGAGACGGGGATCTTCTCTCGAATGAGAGGTTCGGGGGTTCCACTTAAGGTAGTGTCGGCTTTCCTTAAGGTGCGGCTTAGACTGAAGGACTGGGACTGTCTTTCAGAGGAAGTTCTGGATAAAACCTAGTAGAATCAAGTAGGGAATATACATGATTCTGTCTGCTCTATATACTGTCGTCCGTGTGCACAGACCAATACTACGTTCGGTAGGTAAGTATGAGTGTGTCTATACACGGGCATCTTATCTGATGCCATGCGGTCGATTATCTATCCATGAGGCTTACCATGCCTCATCTATCTGTCCTCAAGGCGTAGCATGCCTTTGAGTCTAACTGCGCATGCTGCGGCATGCGGCTTCTCTTCTGACCATGAAGCAGAGCTTCTCCATGATCCGGGTCGAGGACCATCTAGGTCTGTCCAGATGTAGCCTAGGCTGGTCTAGGTCATCTAACGGCATCCAGGCCGTTCTAGGCGTCTCTACGAGTCTCCGTTGAGTCGGTAAGTCTTCCAAGACGGTGCATATGGTGGGATAGGGGCTAAGGTCATGATGACCTCCGTAGGAGGGGTTCTCGGTTACATGTTATTGTAACACTCTGTAAATAACTCCACTCCACCCTCTGAGATCCCTGCATGGTGTGCAATGTCTTCTAGTGATGCACCATTTCCATAATGTCCCATTCAATAAAGTATGACAGCAAGCTGAGTCTGGACGGGTGTTTGAGAGTTGTGTGAATTATTATGGAATGCAGGATGGTCTTTGATTAAATCAAGCAACACCTCAAAAACCATGAGGGAAATGCAAAACATGTTAGTAAAGCGGTCATAATCAGATGGACTCTTAGCATATTCCCATGCAAGATGTAAACTACCAGCTTTTGCAACAGGGGTGTGATGAGCCATCTGTGGTTTATTGTACAGGCCTTCTTTGTACTACAGTAGCATTGTATTATATAATACGGATATGTACAAGACAGGATGATATTGTAAGCTAAGGGGGGTCATGGGCATGGGTGGTAGGCGTGGGCGACCTGAGCACCCCCAACTTTGAGTGTCCCTATTGTAACTCTTTGCTGCCAAGAATATTTGAGGTACTTCAACTGTTGAAGAGCACATACTGTCAAGGCCATATCTTGGCAATAGTCTAGAATAAGCTTGTTGCTCCTCAAAATATTATTAAATAGTTGATTATACTAGCCTACAATTGTTTGTAGATCATTTGGTAAATTTTGAAAAATATCATGTCATGTTCAGCAGTTTGAACTGGTCTGACCCTGAACCTGACCATTATGAACCCATTCAAAGTGGTCTGGCCCAAAGTTCACCCTACCTGTGTGAACTTGACCGAGGTTTGGTTCTTGGTCTTCAGTTATCTTGAAAAAAACAGATGACACCAAACTTTAGCAGCACTACATAGGTAAATGAACTCAGAGATGAAACTTATATAAGGATCAATAAGCAAGACAGAAACAGAGTTAACCAAAAGCCAAAAAAGTGGAGATACCTCAATAGAGAAATAGTACAGATATGAACAAAGCATAGAAATAGGTATAGAGGTAGGTACAGATAATTTCTGGAGGTTCGGAGTTCTGGAATTCTGGAGATATAATAGAAACAGAAACTGGGATATGAATATGAACAGGAGTTCTAAAGGAGGAAACATTTGGATATTGACTGGAGGAAAAAGTATTTAAGGTGGAACATACAGAAGGTCGAGGAAGCAGGCTGGCTATAAGGATACATAGGTCTAGAGATTACATGTAAAATTGGAATGGTGGTAACAGGACTTATCCTATTAAGATATAGAGACCAGAGATCTAGAGTTTATGGGTGGAGTTGGAGCAGGAATTTGTTAGATAGAATATAGAGATTAGACAAAAGATAGGTCCAGAATATGAAATATGATAATATCCATTTATGTTGTGTAGTGATAATTTAATATAGATGTATCCATATAACAGGAGCCTAATGCTGCATGATTTAGCAGTCAAGCTCACACTAGGCTCATATCTAGCTATTTCATAACATATGTAAAATGTCTGTTGCATGCTAATCACTTCCTGATGTTATCTGATGCTTATCCACTTGACCTGACACTTTGACTAGCAGATCTGACATTTCAGCTACACCAGCCAATCTAATATCTTGTACACTTGTCCTTCTCATCTCCTATCCTGTCTTGCTAGCCCCACTAGGTGATAGTTAATTATGAAGTACTATTATTATATTGGTTACATAAGTGTAATCACTGAGTGGCAGCAAGTTACTCCTTTGAAACTCTCTCACTTCTCTCCAAACTCCACACACTTAATATAAGTTCATTCTATATGGCTACCATTTTCTCCATCAATGCAGGCTATTTTTATTTTTATTTTTCTCTTTCTACTTTATATTTTGATGTGATTCATAATATTTCCAGATTCCACCTACTGCAAATCTTTTGAATCAACTGGGAGTGCAGAAAGTGCTAGCATATTTAGTCTAGCAACAAATCAACCTAGAATTATAATATCATCTTCTCAAGTTGGCTGAAACAGTACTATCCAGATGGCTATAAGTAGGCTCATGTTATTTTTCATTTAGCTCATTTGTTGACTAGCATTGATAAAGATTTCCAGTTGGTAGACTATTTGGAAATAAAGGTTGACCAGATAATCCAGTCTTTAAGTAGGCTCACCACTGAGGATAAAGAATATAGGAATGGAGAAGCATCTTGGTGAAAGGCTTAATGATCTGAATAAGAGACTGAATAAATTAACTGTGTCCCAAAAGGCCTTTTTGAATAGAATCTTAGATTTGTTCAAGCAATAATGATATGCTCAATAATGTTTTACTTGGATTGCTATATATTAGAATATGTAGCAAAGGTTTTCCATCCCACAAACATAGAGGTACACTCACCTATGTTATGCCTACCTTTTAGCAGCTTTCACCTTAATCAGGAATTTATGCATATGTGTATATATTAGTATACATACTTGGCAATTTTAAACTTTCTGTGAATATATATAATACTATCCTGAAGTGCATCTATACTATTACATACTTTCATTATTACTAATGAATGATACTAATAGTCATGTTCACAGTCTTTCATTCTCTAATCTGCTATATTATCAGAATGATACAGACAATGCAATCAAACTGTGAGTTATAGTTCACTCACCACTATTTCTAAATCTACTCTTCTCTCCACTTCTGACACTCTTTTGCTGTTACATCCACTTGATGGGACTTATCCATATTGGAGAAAAAAATTATATCCTCCAAAGCATCTGAGTTTATTGTATCATATTACCTAAATCCATCTTAGGCAAGAAAATAAGATGATATGTCCTATAAATTTTTTCTTAAAGACCAGTGATAGAACACCATTTTTATTAGCTTACAGGTGGCCTTGTCAATTAGAGTTAAAGTTAATGATCTGTATAGCAGCTGTCAAATTTGAACTTTAGTAGAGTATATACAGACTTCATGCAAGCTTTGCTACTTTTTAGTCAGAAGAGGTCATGAGTGTGAGAATAGGTAATGAAACTTTAAATACAAAGATTAAAGGACTCTAGCAGTATGGAAACTAGAACCTCATTATTATTACTAAGCCTAGAGTTACTAGCAGTGTTGCATTATATGTACTTATCAATAACCTTCATTTGATTTTTATAATGTTTGAGAGTGGCTAAATATAAAAGAATCCAGTTACCTCTAACAGTGTTTCTTAGAGTGGCAAATGAAATGCATCCCTCTATTATTATAGCACCTTCTGTATTTCATTATCACTGTATCCCAGAAAAGATAGAGAACTAGTAATATCCTGTAGGTTTCATCTTCTGTTCTCTAGCTCTAATGAAATCACTGGCTAGTTCAGATCTAAACACTCAAATAGGAACTATTTAGATGTTTTTTTAAAAAATTCCACTCTATCTGTGTCTTTACTATTTCATTCTAACCAGTATGGAAGCCTTGATTAGCAT